TGGTGCTGACTGCCCAAGCCCAGGCTTCAGCAACCACTAGCCCATTTCCATCAAGAAAAGCCACAGACCCAGGTCAGTCTATAGCATTTGAAGATACAGCAAACTCAGCTCCAGCAGTAAGACCTAGTGCCAGACAAATCTCTAATCCCCCTACCCACTTGTAGATCCAGCGGCAGCTCAAGCTCCCACCAAAGCTGCAGCCTGCATCCACAATCACAGCCCTCCTTGGAGATGAAAGCTTAGAAACACACACACACACACACACACACACACACACACACACACACACACACAATATATATATATATATATATATATATATATATATATATATATATATGAACATTCAAAAATCTTATCTTCTGGCTCTTTTGAAATATACCATGGACAATCATAAGACTGATACACAGTCACCATACCATACAATAAAATGCCAGAACATGGTTCTCTATTTAACTGTAACCCATTCCAGATCCCCTTGACCAAGCTCTCTTCATTCACTTCTGTAAACCACTGTTCTACTACCAACTTCTCTGAGCTCAACCTTTTCAGAGTCTACGTAAGAGTGATAGCAAATGTATCTATACCATTTTCAATGTCTACATCATCCCATGTATGCATTGTATGAAACTTCTGCAGTAGAGGGTTTCCCAACAGCTTTTTCAAAATGTCTTCAGTGTTCTTATCCCCTCCCCATATTCCTTCCTCTGTTCTGCCCTCCCATTCCCACTCATCTAGCCTTTCTTGCTCCATTATCCCCATGTATCCCTCTATACCACTGTACTCTATCTCTCCTCTCTGGAAATCACTTCCAGGGTTTATTTCTAATTTCCTGAGAGCTCTAAGTTATTCTGAATGGAACATATAATATCTGAAGATTCAAAGTTAAAATCCACTAATGAGAGAAAATGTGTAAAGTTTGTGTTTCTGGATTACCTTAAATGATTGTTTCCAGCTCCATTCATGCATTCATAAATTTCGTATTTTTGTTTTTCTTCACAGCTGAACAATATTTCATTGTGTAAACATTCTACTTTTTTTTTTAATCCATTCATCAGTTGATGAACATCTTGGCTGTTTCCATTTCTTGGCTGTCGTGAATAGAGTAGCAACAAACTTGGATGAGCAGGTGTGTCTTTGGTGGGACTTAGAGATGTTAGAGAATATGCCTGAGTGCTATAGCTGAGTTGTGTGGTAGATATAATTTTAGCTTTTAGAGAACTCTCCACATTGATTTTTATAGTGACTGCACCAGTTTGCACTGGTACTAGTGATAAATGAGTGTTCCTCTTCCCCCATACTCACACCAGCATCCATCATCATTTGGGATTTGTTTTGGTTTGTTTGATCTTAGACATTCTGACTGGGGTAATATAAAACCTCAATGTAGTTTTGCATTTCCATGATTGCTAAGGATGTTGAACATTTTTAAAAAAATGTTTCTCAGCCATTTGTATTTCATCTTTTGATTAACCCTCTATTTAGTACCATGCCCCATTTCTTAACTGGGTTGTGGGTTTTTTTAATGTTTAGGTTTTTTAGGTCTTTGTATATTCTACATACTAATATATATACACATATATAAAGAAATTAAATGGAATTGCCCCATAAAGGGGCAACAATGTTCCCACTGGATATCACATGCTAACAAATAAAAAGCCCAATGTCGGGAATGGATTACCTCTTTTTGGAATTGTTGGATCATAAGGTCCCATAGACCCTCCCCCCAAACATTAAAGGTTATTGTCATTGTTATTGGCTAGGCTTGAAATTTGACAGTAAGACTCTATTGATGAAGACAACATATACTTGAGTCATCAGAACATGGAGAAATCAAGCTAGTGCTCACTTGGAAGCTTCATCCCTACCAGATAGCTTTCATGGTGCTATAAGGTGCTTTGTATGCTACTAGAGGAGAAAACTAATCACAAATTTTACCCAGATGTGAATTTTGCAAGGTACAATAATGACCAGCCAGCATGGCATGATATGTCCACTGGTACAATAGTGGTATGAGGGTCAGAGCAGTAACCAACCACTTTCTGATTAGTTTTAAAGCCTGCTCCATATATTGAAATCCATATTGGCACCATCATGTAAGCCAAAAACCTATGGCTAAACAAACCTGCTAAATGGGAATAGTATTAAACCATCCCCTAATGCACCCATACATTAGTACATCTTTCAACCCTCAAAGGAGAAACTTCTTTTTGCAGTAGATGGAGATTAACACCTGAGATCTATAACTGATCAAGGTGTAAAGAATGAAAAACTAAGGAATGTTCATCTCTACATGGGACATCTATATCATACCCCCTCCTTCCAAGGCTCAGGGATCACTGTGGAAGATGGAGTAGAAAGACTGAAAAAGCCAGAGGCAGTAGATGACTACAAGGGAACAGTGTTTTTCAGACACAGCACGGCAGTTGCACATATGAGCTCATAGTAATTATGATAGCATATACAAGACATACACAAGCTCAAGCCAGACTAAATCCTAACATAGAGAGGGAAGTTGCACATGAAATCCCATCCCTACTTGAGGAGCTACTGACAATAGATAACTGCTGAGAGAGAGAGAGAGAGAGAGAGAGAGAGAGAGAGAGAGAGAGAGAATCTGTTTTCTTTAAGGGTGTGGCCTCAATAGGTCAGCAGATGATCCAGTAGAAGGCCATATGTCCAAGAGTACCTGTGGAGCACCAACTGTGCTTACTAGTTTTTGTTTTTAATTAAAAAGAGGACCCAAGGTTGTGTGGGTATGGAAGAAGGGGAAGGATCCGGGAGGGGTTGGGGGATGGGAGTAAATATGATTAAAATGCATTGAACGAAATTCAAAGTCCTAATTTTAAGATGAGAAAGACAACAACAAAAAATGTTGAAATTTTCCATTTTGTTGGTAATTTCAAAACTTTTCCTTAGCCAGGGAGCTCGTTTTTCAAACTTGGGTGACAGAGGGACGGGGCATTATTGGAAGACCTTTTGGTAGCATACCTGATATTGGTGCCCCCAAGGTCCTTCTAAGTCAGATATGAAAATCAGCTGCTCAATATAAATAGTAATGAGGCTGTAAAAATAGAGAAATCATGAAGCTTCAAGTCAGAACTCCCCACATTTTATTGTAGCAACAGCCACAATGGTAGAAAACTCATGCTACTGCCTTCTAACATCAGCACTAGCATCCCTACAGATCAGCTTGTTTACCCCCCCCCAAACTCACCCCAGTAGAGAGCAATACATGGCTTCATTTAGGCTCCTCTGTCAGTACAGAGATATGGACTCCACGTGTGACACAGGAGTAAATCGAATTCGAAGTCAAGTCAGGTGGAGGTTTGCTCAACTCCCTTCAGTGGTTTCACGTCTAAAAGCAGAAATGAAGAAGTTAGCTGAGGATCCGAAATGCTGTGAGAGCCCCTTGTTCACTCACTTTTTTAATTCCAAAAAGCCTCACCCCACCCCTAACAGGCACACATTCCTTTCTTCAGCTTAGCCTGGCATATTTGCCAGCCTGCGCAAGCCACTTCAGTTCTGTTCCCAGGAACCTACACCGGCTCTGTGTCTTAGTTAGGGTTTCTATTGCTGTGAAGAGACACCGTGACCACAGCAACTCTTATAAAGGAAAACCTTTAATTGGGCCAGCTTACTCTTCAGAAGTTCAGAGCATTATCATCATGGCGGGGAGCATGGCAGCGTGCAGGCAGACAGGGTGCTGGCTAGATCTTGATCAGAAGGCAACAGGAAGTGGACTGAGACTCTGGGCAGTATCTTGAGTATATATGAGACCTCTAAGCCTGCCTCTACAGTGACATACTTCCTCCAACAAGACCACACCTTCTCCAACAAAGCCACACCTCCTAATAGTGCCACTCCCTATGAGCTTATGGGGGCCAGTTACATTCAAACTATCACACTCTGTAAGATGGGGGAACACAACTGTCAGCAGTCAGAATCTGAACACCTGATAAGAAAAGCCACTCAGCGATGCAGCACAAGGAAATCTAGTTGGTCTCCAGAGGAGCAATAAATCAGAAGCCTCCAGGCCACAGAGGAATTGCTACATACCTTGACTGACCTGTCTTTGGAAAGATGCAACGGAGCCTGAGAAGCACAGAATCTAGCTTTTTTTGGGGGCGGGAGGGCGGGGGTGTGAAGCTAGAGGTATTATGAAAATTATTAGATGTCTCCAGAGATACCAATCACCCCAAGATATCCTTGCTTGTTTTCTGTTTCTTTGTCTTTGGGTCTTGCTTTTGCTTTGAGACATTCTCTTTCTGCTACTCAGGCTGGTGTTGAAATCCTGAGTTCAAGTGATCTTCCCACTCTGGCTTCTTGAGTAGTTGGGACTACAGGGGCACACCACTAAACCCAGGTCCTAAGAGCTTCTGAAATTGAAGTAATAACGTATACTCTATGGTCATCTTTTGGGACGGCTCATTAACACCTTCATTATTATCACACAGACTGTACAGACAGGCTGTGGCCCAGAAAGATAAAGGGATGAAAAAGAAAGGATCTCTACAAGTCACATCAGTTCACAGACTCCATCACGACCTTCAAGTTGGAGAAGATTGTGCGTTTTCCATTTTCTCCATACACCTCTCCTTCCTCTCATTCTTCTCTCATCCAAGGGCTTACTGGCATTCGCTCAAATCTATCATACACAACTACATTCATAGGGTAAAAGGGAATGGAGAAAGAGCAAGAGATGCTTTTTCATTATCTTAGGACTCAAAATTCCACTGCAGATGTTACTCATAAGTTGGTTGATACAAGGGCTTAATAAAACGTTGTATTTAAATTACCACAGTATAATAATTTATGGAAGGAATATAGTTTTCCTAAAGCTAATGCAGCTTGTTTTTATTCTGTAGTCTTTCTCAAATGTGTGTTTTTTATGTCTTCTCTTTAACCTCAGATCTTCCCACCCAAAGAAAATACTCTGAAGAACCAATCAAAATTTCTGTCTGGTCAGGTCCAGCACCATCCCTGTCTGAACCCCAAGCAGGAAAAATGAAGCACATTATCAATTCATATGAACATACCAATGACACAGCAAAAAACAATTCAGATTGCCCTGATGTGGTTTTGCCAGAAGAGATATTTTTCACCATCTCCATCATTGGAGTTCTGGAGAACCTGATTGTCCTCCTGGCTGTGGTCAAGAATAAGAATCTCCAGTCCCCCATGTACTTTTTCATCTGCAGTTTGGCTGTTTCTGACATGCTGGGCAGTCTGTATAAGATCTTGGAAAATATCCTTATCATGTTCAGAAACCGGGGTTATCTCAAGCCTCGTGGCAATTTTGAAAGTACAGCAGATGACATCATCGACTGCATGTTCGTCCTCTCTTTGCTGGGCTCTATCTTCAGCCTGTCTGTGATTGCTGCTGACCGCTACATCACCATCTTCCACGCCCTGCAATACCACAGCATTGTGACCATGCGCCGCACCATCATCACCCTAACAGTTATCTGGATATTCTGCACGGGGAGCGGCATTGCCATGGTGATCTTCTCCCACCACGTCCCCACAGTGATCACCTTCACATCCCTCTTCCCTTTGATGCTGGTTTTCATCCTGTGTCTCTACATTCATATGTTCTTACTTGCCCGCTCCCATGCTAGGAAGATCTCCACTCTTCCTAGAGCCAACATGAAAGGTGCCATCACACTGACCATCCTTCTAGGAGTCTTCATCTTCTGTTGGGCCCCCTTTGTCCTCCATGTCCTCTTAATGACCTTCTGCCCAAATAACCCTTACTGTGTTTGCTACATGTCTCTCTTCCAGGTCAATGGCATGTTGATCATGTGCAATGCAGTCATTGACCCCTTTATTTATGCCTTCCGGAGCCCAGAGCTCAGGGATGCATTCAAAAAGATGCTCTCCTGCTACAGGTATCAGTAGAATTTTTGATCTCTCATTTCAATATTGTAAAGGGACCAAATGGCATGACAGTCTGGCAAGTGCTGATGCTTCTGACCAGCCTTTCTTTCTTTAATAGAAGGGGATGATCCCACTGATTAGTGTTTCCCTTAGCTGGCTTTCTAATTAGCAGTCTTGCTGCAGCTGCAAACTTTATATTGTATCTAGAGAGATGAAATGATGGGCTAGAAAGGACAGTATACAATGTACACATAGCAATACAAATGTGAGGACTTCGGGTTAAGCAGATATTTGTTCTTTTGTGGGTACCTAGCAAAACTGTCCTTGGAGGCCTTTCCAAGCTGGAGGCCCTGGAAACCAATTCTCTAGAAATTAAAGCACTTTTTAAACTTCTAACTAACTAACTAACTAACTAACTAACTAACTAACTAACTAACTAAATGTGTTGGTTAGATTTCTATTTCTGTGGCAAGTACCTGCAATTGATCAACCTTGAAAGAGGAAAGATTTATTTGTGTTCATAGATTGAGAGGTTTTGGTTCACTGTGGGGCATACATGGGCTGCAAAGAGGGTGCCAAGAGAAATTCAGATAAACAGAGCTTAAGCTTTAAACTATTTACGCAGAGAGTAGATACAAATGGTACCAGAAGTTAGTTTAAGCTGTTTGTACAGAGAATAGATACAAAGGATGGCTAAGAGGAAGTTAGCTTGGGTTGTTTATATGGAGATTAGAAACCAATGGTGAGGAAGGAAGTTAGCTCAAGTTATTTATGCTAAGATAAGATACTAAAAACAGGAGATGATGTCAGGGCATAAACAACTTGTAAATAGGGTAACCTTTAAAATGATTGGTTGGTTCCTTTATCCCCTCCTAGGGTTCTGAGGTTTTCTGGTATAAAAGAGGCTTGCTGCCTATCATCTGATTGTCTCCGGGTAAGAGGGAGGCTGGGGAACGGGAAAGGCACTTACCTTTCCTTGGTTCCAGGCCACCTCTTCACAGGTGACCTAAGTTCCTGGTGGGGCAGGTCCCCACAGTTCACGGAAACTGACTGTTGGTGGGGCCTATGGTGAAACACACATCACAATGGAAGCATGTAGCGAAACACTCATGGCAGCCAGAAGCCTATGGCAAAGAAAGAAAAGATGGATATCTGATAGTCCTCTTAATGGTAAAACCTCAATGAACTAACATTTCCCACTAGACCTAAACTTTTAAAGGCCACTTTCTGGTCGCAGCAAACTACAGACCAAATCTTCAACATATGAGGATCATTTACTTAAACCACAATAGAGAGTGACTCAGTATAGAAACTATAGTGTTCTTACAGGACAAAGATGCTAATTAATTGCCACAGCTAAACAGCCCATCACTTATGTAGCCAGCTTTTGAGTTTCTAAGACTAAATGAATCTTCACTATGAGTCTTCTTTGCTTACCCAGAATCCCACTTACTCTTAAAATCTCTTCCTGCTTCAATTTCCTCAAGCTTTAAAAGCAAACATTTCAAAGGATGAAATCAAATTTTAACCTGTTTGAGTCCTATTCAGGAATATATAACGCGTACTGTATTAGAAGAAACATGGCCAAACTGGGAGCATCTGTCCAAAAATATGAATAACACCTCTCAAAATGTATTTTATATCAAAAGAAAGGAGAGAGGGTAGGAAGCATGGAGGGAAAGGAGGGAGGAGGGAGAGAGATAAGGGATGAAAGAGAGAATCGGAGTCAGAACCATGTTTTTGAGTATGGGAAAACCAAGACCATTCTCCTGTGACATCGTGTGCTGGGCCACGTTTTCTTTATTCATTCCTCTGTCATTGAGCATCTGGGTTGGTTCAATAAATGCTGTTGTAAATAATGCAGTGATAAAAACTTGATGTGCAAGTATGTATGTGACAGGTTGACTTGGATACTTCAGATGAATACCAAGGAATGATGTAGTTAGGTCATATAGTATATGTATTTTTAGTTTTTAAGGGATCTCTATATATAAATATATATATATGTGTGTATATATATATATATGATATAGATATAGATATATTTAGTTTCACAGGGGCTCACCTACCTTACATTACATCTGGCTTATATTACCTACCAGTAGTGAGAATGCCTGTTTTTCATTGATATGTGTTATTTCATTGTATGAATTAATACTTGTTCTTTTGTTACTGTCTGCTATTTAGGTTTACCCAGATTGCTAGTTATACTAGCAATGCCTCTATGAACATTCCTGTACATGAACATGCAAAACAGTTTCTTCAGACTATGTTCATTGAATAGACACACTTCAATTTAACTAGAGAATTGAAAACCGTTTTCCAAAATGGTTATGCCAATCCACATTCTGCACCACTGAAGTGCAAAAATTCCATTGTGACTGTATCTTCACCAATTCATTATACCCTCAAAGTCTTGGCGAACTGACAGGTGTCTGATGCCCATCTTTGACTACTCATGGAACTGAGTAGATTTCCTATGGCTCACTATTTGTGTCTCGTGAAATCTTGCTCATGTGTTTCATTGATCTGTCTTGGAGATTCCTAGGTGAACACTGATAAGTATTTGCAAGTAGAGCCTTTATTTTCCCCGTCCTTTTCTCTGGCTGGAGTCCACAATACAGTGGTGAAAGGAAATAGAGATTGAAGGATTCTTCATGTTTTTCCTAAATTTAAGTAGAAATACACTTTTAAAATTTTCCAATATGGTGCTTATTTTTTTTGAAAGTTATGTTTTACCAAAGTGAAGCTATTTTTTCCCTACATAGTTTCCTAACAGTGCTTTTTTCCATAAATGAACATCAACCTTTTAATGTATCTTCAGCAACAGCAGGTCATTTGTTAAATTATTAGTGGAGTATATTACATTAATCAATTTTTTTAAAACTGATCAATCTTTACAAACTACAAATAGTATGATATTATAGAAATTATAAATAAAGCTAAAATATGTCATTTGACAAGACATTCTGAATCATACTTTTATATATTCAAAGATTTTACACTAAAATGATTTAGTAAATATTTTTAAATGGAAGATAATGAATTATATGGAAGAAAAAGCAATAATTATGGAAGAAAATGTCATGAATTTGAGAGGGAGCAGAAATAACAAGAGAGAAGCTATAGGGAATAAGGGGGGGTAGAAATGATGCCAATGCAGTACTCATGTATCAAATTCTCAGAAAAAATTAAATTTAGATAAAAAATGAATAAAATGCAAGATCTACTCTTTCTACAAATGTATTTTTTATTAGAAAGAAAAGGAAGAAATTCTATTTGTTCTATTTATATGGCTACTTCTTAACCTGTAGTTAAAAAAAGGATTTTCATCTATTTGGCAGTGATCCATATCGACGGGAGACCTTCACTCTGAAGGTGCCAACATCTGCTTCTCTGACTCTTGCCATTAAAGAAGTGGCAAACAACTGTCTTGCCACCATATGAGGGAAAAAAAGCAACATTTTTTTTCTTTTATTAGTATAAGTACATGTTTGTATCAAACAAAAACTTTGAATAGTTTGTTGGGCATACCTCCCAAAGCCTATACTATCTATCTCACCTTGTTTGAATGTACCTTCAAATCCCTGTATCGATTTGGTTGGCAGCTACTGTATCCAACAGCCACACTCTTGTGGCACAGACAAGAGTCCCAGTAGGGACTACACCTGCACAGGTCTCCTCAGGTCACCTTGATCTCTGGCATCAGACTGCCAGCAAGGATTAAATGACACAATAATGATGTGAAAGCTAAAGAGCTTCACTACTGAGAGGCTCTGGGGCATAGGTGGAGCCAGAGCAGCGTGGCAGCTATGAGGGACAGGAATGGGGCACAGGTCACTTGAAGTTAGAGGTAGATGCTTGACTGGAAGGCAAGAAACCAGTGAGTCAGTCAGAGCAGTCTCTAAATCTTAAGAGTCTAAAAAAATTCTTATCTCCAGCCTCAGGCTAGCTCCCCTTAGGTGCAGTGTAAGATTTGAAATTGTGTCAAGGGAGACAGAAGAAAGTTGAACTTGTATTTGAGATCGGATGCCCAGGTAGTGTAAGGCTACAAGTATTCTGCTCCCCCTGACACCCTGAAAGTACATTTTTCTTCATACTCTCTAGTAGCTCAGATTTTAACCATTTTCTTCAAAATTCTGTTGAAACAAGGAGAAGTGGGTGCAGGAGATCTTTTTAAAGATGGAGAACACCTTCCAGAATAGTATTTCTTTTGTTTGAGTTATTAATAAACTCAACTAACTTACTTCTTTTTTAACTTTATAAACTTTATTATAAATAACTTGCAAATAAAAAAATCACACACCAAAATTAACGAGACCCAAAATCTACACATCTCAGAGAACTTCTATATAGTTGGGATAGCTACTTGAAACAGAAACTTTGTAGCTTCATATTGGAGTTTACACTTGCCACTTTTGCATATATATATATATAAAACTTAAGCCTATATATATATCAGAAATGAAAAATCCATGACAGAGTTATAACTAGAAAAACAGTTGGTTTTATGTGCTCTGTCAGGAAATGGGCATGAGTTATGAAAAAGGATAATTTAGTTATTTAAGAGAGTTTTATTTTGGTAGAAGCTGTACCACATATTGAAGTAATGAGTTCTAAGCACTCGTATATAGCCTACCAAGAGTCTTTTTTATCTGCCCCTAATTTATCCTTCCATTTTCTAGAGGATTTAGCAGTGTGGGATTTTTTTTTAAGCAGAGATAAAGACTTAAGTTGTAGCCTCTCCCAAATGCTGTCTTCTACTTACCTATAAAAACCTGCCTCTTTGGTGATAGCTAACCTAAGAGAGTTGGGACAACATGAAAAAAAAGTATCCTTATGGCTAAGATGACTAAATAATTTGATTGTGTCTAGACAGCAACAAGAACTTCCTCTTACAGACAGTCAACAAAACTGGGAAAAATACTGTGATAAGAGTTTACATTGTGATTAAGTATTTAGTGTAGAGTAGCAATTCTCAGCCTGTGGGTGGTGACCCCATTACTGTTCAAAACAGTAGAAAATTGCAGTTATGAAGTAGCAACAAAATAGCTTTATGGATGGGGATCACCACTACAGGAGGAACTGTATTAAAGGATGGCAGCATTAGGAAGGCTGAGAATCACTGGTGTAGAGGAAAGGGCCCAAAATAAAAGAAGTTCCTGTACTTTCACAATCTTACCCTGTCCACTTGGAACCTACCCCCCAGTGACAAGTGACATCACTTGTAAACATCTACAACCTAACTCCTAATGACCCACGGAGC